AGCACTCATGTCTCACAGCTCTCTATACTTTTCCTCTCTGATGCACACTTAGAATTGTAACAGTAAGATGTTATGGAGGTGTCTCTCTCGGTCTTCTTTAGTAGGGGTTCTATGTTTGTCCTTTACTTAAATGTTCTCCCTCAGGAAATGTCCTGCCCTTTGGCAGTGACTTTCTACCTCTTAATGATGTGTAGCTGTTCTGTCACCTCCTTCTTATCTTCTATAGCTGTTTCTTTCTCTTCTTGTAATATGGGGTCTCCTTTGGCACAGAAAAAGCTTATCATTCACCATCTTACCCCAGAAGTCCCCTGCATCCTTTTCTTGCTGGTACATCTATTTTACTTAGCTGCTTTAAATGTATCAAATAAATGAACAATATCTAATGCATGCAATTACAAAATATATTTGCTGCCCAATGCTCTGAACTATGGCTCTACTATAAATAAGATGCATGCTGAATGCTAATACGGTTGGCGAAGGCAGTAATTGCAATGAGTGTCATGAGTTTGCCAACCAACTGCACCATTATCAAAGAATTCTTGTGGAAATTCTGTGACTTGTCTCAGTTTTACACAATTACACCCTTTGTAACAAGTACAAAGTGAAAAAGAGAAAGGCTTGGCTAGGTAGTAGTGGAAATTGTTTTAAATCCTCTTTGAAAACCACATAAACCAATTATATTAAGAAAAACTTGTAGTTTGGTGGCATTTTAACATGGTTTTGTAAGAGTCTACATAAAACCATGAATGCTTTTGATGTAAAAATTAGGTTAATAATTTAGTCTTTCTAAAAGAGAATAATAAACATATGGAAAGCATTATAAGGAAAGGCACACTAGCTAGAGGTCTATTAAATTTAAGGGGAAAAAAAGCATGTAGTATTTCTTCATGAAAAATGTTGGGCTTTCTGCTTTGTTTCTATGCTAGCAATTAACATCGAACTGCTATTTGTAGCATTGGTTATTTGTTTTATCCTGCTTTACCCAATTATGAAGGCTCAAAACATTTTAATGGAGAAAAACTGAGCAATTGTTTTATATTAAGTAGATTAACCAATTTGTTAAACTGGTGTTTTATTTGGGGACTTGGGGAATATGAAACAGGGTAAAACTCAGCTTTTACATAAACTTGGAGACAAGTATGTAGGACCATGTATGTTTCTTCCATTACTAAACGGTTGTACACTCTATCACCTCATTCTCTTGCTCTATTGCTTTTGGATAGGTATAAATATCACACACTTACATCTATAATCAGAATATTTTCTCTACATTAAAATATCTGATAATTATGAATTATTGATGTCCACATATCCATGTAGTCCTATGAGTTACATGTTTAAGTAATTAAGAAAACACAATAAAACCTGAAAATCCAAGAAAGGTCCCTCTACCAGCTGACTGGATGTGCTTTCCAGACTGAGGGGACATTTTGTTTATAACTCCCATTTGTTTCCTACCACTGTAGCCAAGTTTCTACTTATTACATGTCTCCTCGCCTTAACAGTAACTTCTAGTTTGGAACACCGCAAACTGTTTCTCTTCCCCTAAATGAAAACAAATGATATCCACTCAACATATCCTACAAATTTTACTAGAAACAACTTCAAAGATTCCATTAAAATGCAGTATAGCCCCTGCTTCTTGAAGCCAAGGTTAGCCATGTTCCTAATGAAGCTGGGCTCTCTCATTTCCCCTACATTCAAACATTAAGGTTTTTTTTTCCCCAAGATTCTTGTTATCTAAATTTAAACCTGCTTGTTTTATTGTTGTTACTGCCATTTTTATTAAAAGGTAGGTTTAGAAATCGTCTGTAGTAGGCTTCTCTTTATCCAAGACTAGGACCCACATGTGTCTACAGCAACATTCTAACACCATACCTGGCTGTGTTCAATGAATTTAAAATTATAAAAGACTTAAAGATTGTCTGAAATATTTATAGTTTCTAGAAGGTAGGAGCACATGTGTCTTGCTTCAGTTGTTAATGTCTTACCAATCTGTGTGCAGCCCAAAGCCAAATTGATACGTACAGAAGAAGGGAGCATCTAGGATTCTGAAGCAAAAGTGTCCTTTGCCCACCTCTGCATTTGACCATTTTCTAAATTGTTCATTTATGGTGAGCTCTCAGTCCTCACAATGTTTTCAAATACACAAGCTGTTGTGACACTTTTTACCCATGTGTTTATGCTGAAACCATAAATGAAGCTCTTAGATAATATGGAGCTGGAAGAATATCCCTGCTTTCTCAGGCCATCTTGCCTCCCTCCTGTCTTCTGCCTGCCATATTTTACAAAGAGATTGTATATATGGAAAAAGATACAACAGAAAATATAATAGTTTTTTATTAACTACCAAAGGAACTGATAAAGGCTATAATAATCACATCTTCTCTAACACACACACAATTACACACACACACACAATTTGTGAAGAGCTTAGCTTAAATTTAAAAATAACATTCCTTCAGAATAGACATATTATTGGAAAAGACAAGTCCCACTGAATCACAACTATCTTAAAGTAATTCATTTGGTTTGTCTTGCAAATTCAATGTAAAGCCAAACTTTAAACTCACATGAGTGCTATGAAATATGAAATTTTATGATATATAAAGAGACAATTTCTATTTATTTTCAATTTATACTCAAAGTCATGAAAAATAAGCATGATTATCTTTCTTGTATGGGGTGAATTCTGTTGTTGTTGTTGTATACCCTTTGATTGAGAGTGTGATCTTTTAAATAGTCCTGGCTCCATACAGATTTTTTTTTCATGTTCCAAACTTGTACAGTGTCCTCAGTACAGTATTCCAATGTTCCCCTAGGTTTCAGTGCTTATCTATGAATGGGGAACTGATCAAGTTCCACCTCATCTCTCCAAGCTATTCACCTCAGTAATTTTTTTAATCTTCTTGAAACATATACATATTCGCTACTGGGAACTATCCCTTCTTATTCTGTAGGTTAATTTTGACAAGTTCATGTATTATGACATTCTGAGAAATGCATTGGGAATAAGTTGCATCACTGTGCATTAAACAGTGTACTTATACAAACCCAGAAACGATTACTGTATGGCCTCTTGATTCAATAAATTGATTAAAATTAGTAGAAGGTTGCACTGGTCCTCAGTGTATTTGATTAATAAGCAGCAGAAGAGAAGTAAAACAACATTTGGGCTGGGGTTACAGCTCAGTCTTAGAACATTGGCTAAGCATAGATGAGACGACCCTGAATCTGACGGTCAGCATCAAACACATGCAAGAAAAGAAAGAAGGAAAGAAAAGGAAGGAAGGAAAGAAGGAAGGGAAGAAGGGAAGGAAGGAGGGAGGGAGGGAGGGAGGGAGGGAGGAAGGGAGGGAGTGGGTGGGTATAAAATGCATAAAACAAAACTTTTGCTTACTATAGCTGTCAACATTATTGTATAAATACTATATTTATACAACTCTGCGATATCATTGTAAGTACTAAATATGACGTTTGTGGTATATTTTCATGTAATTACGACACACATTTGCTACCAGCAGCACCACAGCACATGGCTCATGCATCACATTAAGACGCCATGATGGATACCAGATCCCTGGAGACAGTAGTTTTTCAGGACTAATATATAATAAGATCACTAGCATCTATATAATTTACCATCTATTTAAGTATTATTAAATATTTAATATAGATACAAAACAATAAATATTATATAGCAGATGACTATAATTCTTCAAATATGCTTTTCTTAGCAATTAAAATCAAATGCATATAAAAATTATTTAGTACCTGAATAGGCAGTATTGCTAGGCAGAGACTAAAGATTTTATTGTCTACATTCTGAAACTTTACACTATAAGCCTTTATCCCCAATAACTAAGCTAACATCCATAGAATAATAAACATGGTATATAAGTAACTCACTACTCATAATATGAAAATATAGAAATAAGGAATAAATATCAGGGTAGAGAGAGAACCTTAGGAATATGCTCTAGAACACCTAATGTGAAAAAGTGAAGTCAGACCCAGAACCCTGAAGGCATGTTCAGTACTCACTCCATTGTCCTTGAAACTAGACTTCTTAGGAAGGAAAACTTCTAAAGTTCCAATATCCCAAAATATCATGAGATAATCAAATATATAATACAGGTCAAAATAAGCTCTTCCCACTATTTCTAAACATCTGTCAACAACTGCTCGCTTTGGAACTATAAAATTAAGCTTTACATACTGACCTTCACTTCATACCAAAAAACTGTAACAGTATTATCTTTAACTGTCAAATTTTTAACTGTTGGGATATCAAATTAATTTATTTTTTCACAAGACTAAGAGTATTTTAAAATAAAATTATTTAAATTTACTCTTTAGATAAAGACACTTAGAATAGCACATAACTTAGTGATTTTTTAATACTCTAACATTTTAGATAGCTTTCTTTAATATATAATGGAATCATTTGGTTAAAATAAACAAAGGTTCTATTAAAAGTAAGGTTGTGGGATCTGTGGTGGAGTGCTTGCCTAGCATGTGTAAGACTCGAGGGTTAATTTCTAAGTGTGCATGCACATGAACACACAAAATGAGATTTCAAACATTAAAAGAGCAATCAAGCTATCAAAAAATGATTCATTTCATGATTACCATAGTACATGCTACTGTTCTGTCTCTTTACTTCTCAACATATCATAGTGTTCAACTCTGTTAAACTTTATAGTTGAGGTATATAGGCATTGAAATTAGAAGCCATAGATCTAATAGAATTGATACTTTAAAAATAAAAGACCAACAACTTGACCTCCGTTTCCTTAAAATATCATCTAGTATTTGTAAATATTTCCTGTGTGTATGCTATGCTTAAGCATATTCATAGAATCTCAAGGTAAACTATATAATACATATTATTTAAGCATTAAATTTGCATTTGATAAATTTATCTCACTGAAACTGTCAACATGCTCATGTCATAAGTCATACACAGCTACAGCATAGCACACTGAGACTACAAATACCTGAAGAGCGGTGAGGATATTTGCGAGGGCTTGTCCATATGTATCATGGCAATGAACCGCAAGAGCCCCTGGAGGGATTTCTTTCATGACACTTTCCAACATCCTCTTCATGCTGCCTGGAGTACCAACTCCAACCGTGTCTCCCAACGAAATCTCATAGCAGCCCATACCATACAATCTCTTTGAAACCTGTGGAAAGGCAAACTCATGGTAAGACAATGAAAACAGGAAGCCACCAACCCTCTGACTCTTAAGTAATTGCCATTTGGTGTTTAAAAATACAACTATGATGAATCTAGTGTAGGTGAGAGCTAGTAGTTAAGTCCATACTTGTTTGATTCCAGAATTACTTTCAAAATCACATGCTGTCCTCATGAGGACACATCACTTTTTCATTGTGGCATTGGTCATTAGGCTTGACAAGAATTTGACATTTACCTCGCATGTATCCCTTCACTCACAATATAGAAAGAACACTTAAGCTAGGAATGCTAAGTGATTCTTCCAATTACTACGTTTCTTAAAGGTGACAGAGCTGAAATTACTGTTGTCTGTGGAAAATGTATGCTTTACTTTTCCTTGGTCTTCTTTTATGCTCAATAAATTGTAAGCCCCACATAAACATTTTGGATGAAATAACCATTATTACCTTGTATGTTCAAGTTTGTCCTACCTACTTCATATATACACACTCATCCACCTATCTGTTCTAGTGCAAGCTGAAATACCTCAGAGATGAGGTCAATATTTCTCAACTTTAACTGAACAGGAACACTGAAGGTCTACTTTGGAGTACTGTTTCTCTGGGCATTATAACAGAGACCAAGAGACATCAACAGTAATTTCAGCTCTGTCACCTTTAAGAAACGTAGTAATTGGAAGAATCACTTAGCATTCCTAGCTTAAGTGTTCTTTCTATATTGTGAGTGAAGGGATACATGCGAGGTAAATGTCAAATTCTTGTCAAGCCTAATGACCAATGCCACAATGAAAAAGTGATGTGTCCTCATGAGGACAGCATGTGATTTTGAAAGTAATTCTGGAATCAAACAAGTATGGACTTAACTACTAGCTCTCACCTACACTAGATTCCAGGTTGATCATGAGGTTAATCTATTGCTGCTTCAGTTACTAACTGTTGAATATAGACAACAAACTGTTCTCATATTTTTTTCCTGAATGCTTTCTAAAGCCTTGACAGTTTACTTTAAAAACTTACAATAGTCATGACAATGTTAAGAGCATGCTTGGCTGACAAAAATACAATAAATAAAAGATTTTGTCATTAACTTGTTTATTAAACTTGTACTTGTCCAGGGCCACCTTATTCCAGGCACTGTGTTAGGCAAGAAAGCAAATTTGACATGGCTCTTGTAATCTTGGATACAAACAAGGATCAAGTTTTGCTGGTATCATGGAGATATGCACAAATAGAGCTAAAATAAGACTGTGGACAAAAAAGCAAGTTCTACATTATGTAGTAATGGACACTGGGCACTGGTCTAGAGCTGTCAAGGTGGGAGGCTTTAAGTGCCTTGAGATAAAGTAAGATTGAAAGGGGTGAGAGAGAAGGATCTGAAATGTGTTAGAAAAATATATACACAAAAAAACAAAAAAAAACTAGTAGGTTCCAAGCCACGGATGTGTGAAAGGCAGAGAGTATCCAAGAGCAAGAAAAAAGTCAAATGTACAAGAGAAGGCCACAGAAGAGAAGAACAGGAACATAAAGTCTGAAAAGGGGTGAGAGTCTGCAAAAGAAATCAGAGTTTCTAACAGTCATTTCAGAAGGAAAAGAATGAATTCACAAAATGTATTAGGCTAGCACAAAGGGCTCTGCAGTAAGGTTGCCGATTATGAACTTTTAATACTTCTATCTGTCTGCGAAGCTTCAGCAGCACTCTAGTCCTTATAATGTTAAAAAGAAGAAGGGGAGGAGGGGAGAGGAGGAGGAGGAGGAGAAGGAGGAGGAGGAGGAGGAGGAGGAGGAGGAGGAGGAGGAGGAAGAGGAGGAGGAGGAGAAAGAGGAGAAAGAGGAGAAAGAGGAGAAATGTACAGCTCTTCCATGCTAGATTAGTAAAACAGGATGATAAAAGAAGTCTGTCATCTGCAAGAAACAGACACAGGTCTTGGGAGGCTCAAAGTCAAACCCTTGAAAATATTCTTAAAAAAAAAAAAGAATATATAGTGGTCTATGCAGATTCCTAGCAGAACCTTGGATGTAAGTAAAGCAATATAAAACCTAAGCTTCATCATTTCCTAGTGCCTTTCCCTCTATGAGCAAGGAGCTTTTAATGTATGAGATAGCCTTCTTTAGAAAAGTCTTCAGTGAGCTTTAGAAGTTCAGATGAGCATTCAAAGGAGGAATGACATCAGCTGGACTGAAATTAATCTACATAACATGAGGTTTTCTAATAATATCACATTTACTGATTCAGTGTTGTATTACAAAATTCATGAAAATCTATAACCCTAGCAAAAGTTTACTTAAACAAAATTCATCTACAAACAAGCTTCTAAACTAATTCCCAAAGAAGAGTATTTGGTATTCATTAGGATAAATTAATGGTAAGGAAAGAATTATAATAAACAGTTTCAATAATTCAGTAGGCAGATTCAATAATCCACTAAGCAGATTCTTAATGACTATAATCTACTGTCATAAATTTCTATTATAACAACAATTTAGCATTGTAATGAAAATCACAGATGAACAGAACACTGAAACACATACTCTGATGTTGGTACTAAAAATTGAAAGTGTACAGCTGTCTGCACTCTGACGGGAAGTGGGAGAGTACTCCTTTGGTTAAAGTCATGTTCAGGACCAGACAGAAGCTTTTATTCTGTGTGACTTTAAGCATCCAAATTATAAGACTCAGTTATCACCTACCTTTGGGAAGGTAAAGCTGATAGGTTTATGTTAAAAGGAAATGACTAGTTATGTAACCAAACATTTACATATCTTCATTGAAAATTTCCCAGCCGTGTTTCTCTTTAGTCTCTATTAAAATTAAATAGATAATAAAAAACCTGTCTAAATTTACAAATAATATTCTTTATGGTTACCAGTATCCATAAAGACTGGAGATGTATCTTACTTCTGTAACTTTTTGTGGTGTGATGCTTCCTTCATATGGACAGCCCAAGGCGCAGGACACATACCTATATTGAAAAATACAGGGCAGTATGATATGTCAATCATAACCAAGTTTACATTTTAAAAATGAATAACAAAAAATACACCAGGCAAAATTATTTTACACTTGTACTTTATCCTTCAACTAAACAAAAATTATTTAGGAGCATTTAAAGGTAATTCAACCTTTTAATCTATCAAACAATTAATACTTGATAACATTATTTGATGGTAGTGATTAAAGGACAGTACATGGACGTGTTTAGACTAAAGCAGTGGTTCTCAACTTGTGGATTATAACCTCTTTGAAGGTCGAGCAAACCTTTCACAAGTTTCACCTAAGACTATGCAGTGTATCAAATATTTATGTTATAATTCATAACAATAGCAAAATTACAGTTATGAAGTAGTAAAACAATAATTTTGTGGTTCAGGGTCACTACAACATGAGGAACTATATTAAAGGGTTGCAGTATTAGGAAGGTTGAGAACCAATGTACTATATAGCATCATATAAATATTCAAAGCAGAAAACACTAGTGAAATGTACATTTATATTTAGACAGTTATAAATTCAATGTTTAAATAACCAAGTCTTTAGAATTATATAGAGCTAGTATGAAGAAATGAAGTTTCTCTCCATGCATCTATCTGGAAGTTTTTACTACAAATAAGATATGGTCATGATTCCTTTCCAACCCCAAGACCTATCTACCACCTCAAAATTCATTTTTGTTCTTTCATGAGTTTATCTAACTTATTCCAAATAAAAGAATCTCTAATGGATTTAAAGGTTCTGGATAAAGATAAGTTTCCTTAGCAATTTATTACCATTTAAAGATGGTGATTCTTTTCCATAAAAAATTATCAAGCTTTTGACAAGTCTACTGAGATCATTTGAAGTTTATCTCCAATCCCACTTCATCAAGGCAGGTGATGACAGTGCAAGTTAATCCCAGCACTCAGGAGAAGAAGCAGGGAGAGCTCTGTGAGTTTAATCCCAGCACTCAGTAGAAGAAGCAGGGAGAGCTCTGTGAGTTTAATCCCAGCACTCAGTAGAAGAAGCAGGGAGAGCTCTGTGAGTTTGAGGCCAACATGGTCTACATAGTGAGTTCCAGGACAGATAGGATCACAGGAAAAAAAAGTTGTCTCAAAAAAATTAGGTAGGTAAGTAGGTAGAGGAAAGAAAAATGAGAGGGAGGGAGGGAGGGACGGAGGGAGGGAGGGAGGGAGGGAGGGAGAAAAAAAAAGTACCACCTGCTTAGTTGTCAGGAATAAAGAAATCCAAATGAGGGAGACAGGAGTGGTGGAAGGTGAGGCTGGATGTCTACCTAGGAAGCTAGACTTTCAGATGATTCAAAACTAGTTTTGGATACTAAAAAATTTAGGTAAGGTCCTGAAAATTCAAATTTGTTTATAGAAATCTAGTTTCATAAATTTTCTGTCCAAGGGAAGGTTGGAGGTAAAAGAGAACATACTGATATGTTTGATGAACTTAAGCCACGATTTATTAGAGAACTTTGAGTGAAGTGTCTAAGACTTTGAAATAAAACAGGTACACACTGAGTGGGCTAGTACACATGGTTTCTTTAATGTAACCCAATTTGGGGCTATCAATGTGAATAATATGAATAAAACTTACATTTGAGAAATGAAATAGATAAGCTGGCTAACTAGCCCATCACACAGTTCAAAGTCAAAGAAGAAAAATTCAAGTCCAATTTATTGGAAACTTGGCTTGTTCTTCCAGTTCCTATGCTTTATGTAACATTTTAGATGATAATTTGTACAACTGTTACCAAGATATATGAGAAGGAAATGGCATAGCAATGGAGAAAGTTGTGAAACAAAGAGAAATTTCAGTCCATATGCAGTAATTCAAGTAATGTGCAAAAACTGATTATATTTGTTCTATGCCCCAAACATTGAGATGAGACTTAAATATAATATCTAAGGTGGTCAGTTGAATATTTCCTTTAAAATGTACTAAATAAGGAAAATAGTGCCAATAAACAGCAATAAATTCAAATCTATCAAAATAAGCATCTCATGCTTCTTCAGCTAGTCACTAGGTCATGACTGTCTACTTGTTCCTAAAGTCTAACTCTCAACATTTGTATTTTCACTCGTCTCTCACTAATGACCTTCCAGGGTATGCAATGATGACATAAAGATTATGGAAATAATCAACTAACATCTGACTTGACTTATAAGGCCCAGTACATGAGATGGAAACCATACCAGACTCTGCTTGGGTGACCAGGAACCTGAGACTAGAAAGCCTAGGAACCTAGAATAAAATCAAATACTACTCTTCCAACTAAAAGAATGGGGCTGGTGAGATGGCTCAGCTGGTAAGAGCACTGACTAAAAGAATGTAGCAATAAAATGACTCCTAGTGACATTCTGCTATACCCATAGATCAGTGCTTTGTTCAGCCACCATCAGAAGCATCCTACAGTAGATGGGAAAAAATTACCCACCACCAGATATTTTACAGAGAGTGAGAGACTTGAGAACACTCAGTCCTAAATGGGATGTCTCCATCAAATCCATCCCCTCAGAGCTCAGAGAACCTTGCAGAAGAGGATGTAAAAAAGAGTGTAAAAACCAAAGGGATGGAGGACACCAAAACAAAACAAAACAAAACACCCAATACGATCCATGCACATACGAACTCACAGAGACCAAGACAACATACACAGGGCCAGCAAAAAGCCTTTGGGTATACATTGTGGTTTTCAGTTTAATAGTTTTATGAGATTCCTCAGTGTACAAATTGAGTGAGTCTCTTTGTCTATATCTGGTTGTGTGTGTGTGTGTGTGTGCCCGTGCACACTCACATTTTCTTGGGTTCTTTTTCTTCTGTTTGTTTCTCATTTCAACGTTCAGGTTTCTGCTTTATCATTTTATTTTATTTTATTTTATTTTATTTTATTTTATTTTATTTTATTTTACTCTTATACCTCAAAAGCCTGTATGTTTTCTAATGAGAGACAGAGCATAGGTGGAAGTGAATCCAGATAAAGGAAAGATGGGGAGGGACTGTGAGAACTGGAGAAAGGGGAAACCATAATCAGGACATATTATATAAAAAAATCTATTTTCAATAAAAGAGGAAAAACAAAATAAAAGTTCTAAGAAAAATCAAACTCGATAGCACATTCCTATAATCACAGGAGGTGGAGGAGGAGGCAGGGAGGCTGAGCTAGAAGGAATGCCACAGCTTAAGGTCAGCCTGGACAACTTAGGAGAGACAGAGCTATACAGGAAGACCTTGTACCAAAATCCATGAAAAATAAGTCAGTGTAATAGATAGAGTGACTGTCATCCAGCCTCAGCCACCTGTTTTACACTGTTAGGATACATACACTTACAGGAAGGTATGAGCCTCTAAGTAAACACTTAACATATGAAAAGTAGCTTAGCAGATGTCTGAGTTTTAGTTTTCTGTACCATATTTTGGTAGCTGATTATTTGCTGTTTTGTTTCAGCCCAAAATCTAGGCTTGTGCTTAATGGTGAAAGTTAATAAGTGACTTTATAAGCAGCTTCTGCTAATAGGAAGATAGTAGTGTGTCCACAAGAAAGTTCCTCCAAAGAAGACCGTCCAGTGGAAACCTTTTGGTAGTCAGCTGGGAGCAGCACTGCCTGCAACACACTGTACATCTAACAGCAGAGCTCTGAATATATAGACTCATCGTCCTTCAAAATAAGGCTGCCCTCACCTTCAAGGTCAGGACCATAATCCTTGTGGCATCTGGCCTCAGGCCATGAGGACAGGACACACAAATCTGCAGCATGATTTAAATAGATGATTTGGCTAATTCAGGTTCAAGGCTGAACGTTTTTGAAGAAATGTGTTGGGCTATAAATCATTCCTTCAAGTGAAAGTTAGGAGAGACTGTCCTTCCTTTTTGGAAGTTGGGAAGTTTGCTGTTCTAAAGGCTGTGAGCTCAACAGAACTAACGAACCAGTTGAAAAATAGTTGTACAGCCGAACTTCTTTACAGTGAGTATCTCTACTAAAGGAACTGATCAAAATTATCTGTGATGCAGTCTATTTGAGAAGCAAAAAAGACGTGGTTTAGAATGTATTTGGTTGATATGTAAAAAGGTTAATAAAGACCACATTTATTATGGCTGGTCTCACCACCTTCTAACTAGCAGTAAATGTTAGTCACTTTATATAAACTAATTATTACTGAAATAAGACATTATGTCTCGTAATTGTCTTTGTTTTTTATAATTAAATAAAATTTGTTCTTTTATTATTAACTTAATTATTTGCCTAACTCTTTATTTCACTTTTATTTTTTCTGGAATGTTGAGGAGAAAGCAACAGATGCTATTCACAGATATATATTCTTGCACTTTGTAGTCTTTTAAAAATAAAAAATTAACTTAGGCTTCTAGTAAAAATAGAGAACTGTACTCCAAGCCTCAGGTCAGGCATAGAGGTAAAATAGCATCATCCTGGCCCTATATAGATATTTCATGCTTCATGCTTGAGAAGTGGAACCTCTGAAATTTTCATTTTATAATACACACTTATAAGCACACACACAGTGTGCTATAGAAAGAGGACACAGAATTCAAGAGGCATACAGAGGCATACAGAGGCGAGGAGGTAAGGGGATTTGGAAAGAAAAGGGGTTAATACTATGATCTAAATTTTGTGTGTGTGTGTGTGTGTGTGTGTGTGTGTGTGTGTGTGTGTAACTGTGTGTGATTCTCAAAGCATGAATAAAATACAAAAACAAAACATAAAAATCAAGTCATATTTAAATTCAGTGAAAAGCTAGGGAAGGAAATAGATTCAAGTACTCAATTGAAGAACATACATGTTAAAATTTATATTTCTAGAAATGGATAGTCCTCTGAAAAATCCAGAAATAAACTTCAAATTGAAACCAAGAGAGAGAAAGAGAGAGAGAGAGGGAGAGAGAGAGAGAGAGAGAGAGAGAGAGAGAGAGAGAGAGACAGAGAGAGACAGAGAGAGAGACAGAGAGAGACAGAGAGAGACAGAGACAGAGAGACAGAGAGAGTTGTGTAGCCTGTATTTGTCTACATTGCAACTCTACAATAAAATATCCATGGTAATCCAGTGATTTGATTTCATAGTGAGTTTCCTTAACTATCCAGTGAGAGTAACCTTCCTGATACTGTGACCCTTTAATACAGTTCTTCACGTTGTGTTGACCCCAACCATAAAATTATTTTCATTTTTATCTCATAACTATAACTTTGCTACTATTATAAATCATAACGAAAATATATGATATACAGAATATCTGATATGTGACTCCAGTAAAAAACACATTGACCCCCAAAAGGATCAAAACCCACAGATTGAGAACCACTGGTCTAAATAGTCCTTACATTTTGAAATAGACAAAGGTGTTCATATTCCCTTTTTAGAGGTAAGAAAAGCAAACCTACTTTTGACTTTTTAATTTGAAAGTTTATAGAACATCTCTCCTTTATATTTGATTACACAATTTGGCCTTAAGATAGACATGCTATTACTTCATGATGATGGATATGTATTATCTTGTCATCACTTTTTTTGCAAGTTCTTCAGGTGAAAAATATCTATTATGATCCAAAGACAATCCAATATTATAAAAAAAACTCCATGGTAAAAATTTAGGAAGATAAAATTCAAAAGAAAACACATCGTATATTACAGTCCAAGTCTGGTGGTTCTTTAAATGACTCACTTAATTCCAATCATTGTAAGTCCTATCCCAAAGCCAAGCATCTTTTACGTTATTAGCTTTAAGTTTGCAGTGCTGGGATCACTAAGCCGATCCTCTCATTGGTGAATTGCTCTGCCTCTGTGGATTTTCCTCACATCAACTAAGAGAATATAAGGTACAGCTAAAGTCATTCCCAGCATGAATTTTATGTTCATCACATCTGAATACTTATATAATTATTAGAAAACAAGCTACTGTCTAACTTCAGTAGCAATTGGGTTTATTGCATTATTTCAGTATAAAGGAACAATTCCAAATCTATGCTTCAACTGCTGGTCTTGGAAACAAGCAAAAACTTTCCTCCTTCCTTCGATTCCATCACCATAACGGCCTCCATATCTTCCATCTCTGCTCTCCACTACCCTGTTTTCTAATTGTTTGTACATGGCTCTATTGCAAGAGCCCCAAGACAATTCAGAAATGACAGTACATTTCAATTCAGGCAACCATGTAAACTCTTGAAAGAGAGTTTTTGATCTTCTGACATTATTTCCTCTTCTGTTCCCCTTAATGGGGTCTCCCGTAATGAAAGCTAGTGATGTACATCCAAAGCAATGCAGTTTGTTTATGAAGTTCCAAAGAGTGAGGGTAAGATCGGTATCTCAGATACACCTGCGTTTACAGAAGCAGTTCCAGTTTACGGACGCATGTGAATCTTGTGTGGCAGATAACTACATCTGGATAACTGAGTCTTAATGTCAGATTCATATGCTAGATCCTCTAGTATCAATCAATTCCACATTCCATGGGCTAGAAACATGGTAACAATTATTAATGAGATATAATTACATTAATGATTACCATAAACAAATATGGTCCAAAAGCTATGATATATATCATTATATATTTGATATATGTTTTTAAAAACCACCAAGGTGGCTTATAAGTAAATTCTAAAATTCGATAAAAATGAAATCGAGTTGGGTTTTATGAGTACCCTCGCACTGGGATGTCCATGTGTCTTGCAGAGCGGATAACCTCCTCAAACCTTCCCATACTTTCTTCAATGGAGCAGTTAATATTCTTCTTGCTGAAAGATTCTGAGGCAGCACCAAAAACTGCTATCTCCGTGGCTCCGGCAGCAACCTGAAAGATACAGTTTATAGCCCAAATCTAACAAGTTTTAGAGTCTTGTGTATGATAGCAGAAGACGAGAAGATAGTCGACTCAAATGAATGCCTTGGTTCACACGGAGCCTTAAACTTTAAAGCCATGTTTTTCTCATTTTGCTACTCACACTGTTACAAAATAGAGAAGCATTTTATGGTAACAAGAAAATTCCATGAGCTACAATATTTTTAAGAATACGAGATGCATAAAACACAGTTATGATGCTCCAGTTAATTCTGCCTTTCATCATGTTATCCTCAAAACACTTTAACCATAATTATGGAAAAAAAACATGTGTGCCCCACGAAAGCCTGAATTTTTATAGTGAATACTATTTTGAAACCAAAATATTATTGAAAGAGAAAAAAAGCCCAAACTATTTCTGGTTCTCTTTTCTTCCTACAATCCAATAGAGAATGCCTTCCCCATTCATCACTTAGATTTTGCCTCCAAATTTCCTTGTAGTTCCTAATTAGCTGCTCTAGCATTGTAGCCTTACTATCAAAGCCATGTGTTTATGTGACTAAGGTGTTGTCTACCTGCTAGTCCTTAACTCTAAAATAATAACTGAATCAACTCTACCTGTCCTCTTTTTCCTTTTGTTGTGCTTCCTGTTAATGTCTCATTCACTGTCTGACTAGTTTTTACATGTTCTCTCTGATTGTCTGTTAATACCTCAAGAAGGAAAACATGATTTATCTTTCTTTTAACATTTAGAAGACAACTTTTTTTGTTCCTCTGTTCAAATGTGAATATGAATCCTCTAAAATAAGTTTTCTACTTTGTTAAATACTTACTCTTTGCCATTAATAGTAGAACTTTGCCTACATTTTTTTGTAATCTGAAAACCCTTGCAACATTATTGAACTTCTGTTACAAATGCAGCACAACAAACTTGTTCGCCATTCAGTCTCGGGAGTTATTCAGTTAGTGAACCATGCTTTGATTACAAACTCACAGAACTCCCAAGCCAACACTTACTCTATTGTTAAAATACTGTTAGGACATACCCCATATATTTTCTCCAAGATGAAGACCTTCACTTCTTTGGGAAGATATCATTGCACCAATATTATTCTATTTTATGATGCTATAAAATTATGTCAAATTGAATGAAAGATAAGTGTCTCTAACAACACACACATGAAGATGTAATGTACTGAATAGATTCTTACAACCTCAACTTCATGAAGCATAGTACCAAATACAGAACATAAAATACTTATTGACATAAAGATACATACTCTAATGCCTTTGCCATGAACATATGTAAACGTAATATAGTATGTTACATTTTTACGTAAAAGCAATGTGATTCTTCTTGTGTATACAGTCATTAAAACTCTTATCTAAATCCCATAAATCCCAAAACCACATAGAATCACAAGAAATAAATCAGGAGAAGGATAAAGAAAAAAGTCATTGCAAGCAGATACAGTGATTTAGTCTAAGAGAAGAACCCACAGAAACAAAAAGCTTGTGGGTCTTGACCTCTACCTGTCCATATCAGTTTAAAAGCAGATCAATTACATATGAAGACTTGTTGATTACCTATCACAGCATTTTAACGTTTAAAGATCTTCAAAACAATAGAGGCAATTCCAGAGAAAACGTCACACTTACAGCGTGCTGCAAACCCTGAAGATTAGGTATAAGGACAGGATAGCGAATGCCTGGATACCGATGAATGCTGCGCATCACTTCTGCATGGTCAGCCATCTTAAACACATAACAGTCATATGTAAGCACAGAGATGAGCAAGACATCAATACATCATTGGCCTTCTGTGTAAGTTATCGTTACACATAAAGCATATGCTATAAATTAATGTCTGACATAAGAGTGTTCACATGTAGATAAGGAAAACTGTCATAAATGGATTACAGCAAGGCAAGGCCTTACTAATTCACAAAGTAGGATCTGACTAAGTGAGTGAGTGCAGAGAAACAAGATTCTCACCATCCATTTTCTTGTAATCATTTGGTCATCCAAACATCAGGCACTCATGATAGTATGGAAAATTTGAAAAGCAAAACACAGGCCTTTTTTATTATCTCACAAAACTTTATGCCTAACTTTTCAGTGCTTAGAATTTTACAGTGTTTAAGAACATATAAATTGTAGGACACCATTAAAATCATTTAACAAGTCTGGAATTAATAACCAATATCATTGGGATAGCATACATGTTTCAGTTAGTAATGGTTAAAATGTTTTATGTAGTAGCATCATATGATTTCTATCTGTTCTTATATATGAAGAACTAGATAAACAGTGCTTGGAACAAAATTAAACCACACTATCAAAGGTGTTTTTTATGAGTCTACTAAAAATTAAATTAGGATTAAAATTGTAAATCTACAAAGTCAAAAATTAATTTAACACAATAATCTAATACTAAGAACACATAGAACATTAACATGCATTATAGTGAAGATTACATATTTAAATGTGTGGGTGCTTCCGGGATGCATGATGTAGATAACCCTCTTTATTGTTTTCCCTGTGAGCTTAAGAGTAGGCTATGTGTCTGTCAAGTTTTGAAATACATATCTGTAATGTGCATAATAGACTGTCCATATTAAGAACTAAAAGAAGTATATGCAACTAAAATATATTCATACTATGGTATGAAATGTGTATAAAAATTAGAAATTCATAAGGAATGGAAAGCACACCAGAAAAGCATGGAGAAAGCTGTGTTAACAGACACCAAACCCAAATTACTGCCCTCAAATGATAGTAGAAGGAGGAAACTATTAATTCTCTACTCATCTTATTTTTATCATGATCACATGTTGTTTTAATTAATAAAAGCAAATCAATAAAAATATAACATTTGGTTTATGCATACACATACAAACCTCAAAGCCCACCCCTAGTGACACACTTCTTCCAACAAGGCCACACCTCCCAATTTTTTCAAATAGTACCACTCCATAAGCATTCAAATATATGAACCTATGGAGCCACTCTTATTCAAATAACCATGTAAGGGTTCAGAATAAACAAATGTTGGTATGAGAGTACAGAAAAGTTTAAACATAATACAGACCTTTTACTAAGGGCTTGAATGTGATATATTATAGTTTTTATAAAGATCAAGCACTATGATATTTCTGGTTTCTTCTACTTTTCCAAGTTCTTTCCCCTATTGATGAAGATATAGATTATTTTCATTCCCTTGAAGCTGGGTAGGCTGTGAATGTTCTGAACCTACTTCATAGTGGCAAATTTTTTAATGTGGTTTCTGAAACTAGGTTATTAAAAAGAGAGCTAACATTTCCCCTTTAGCAAAAGACACTATGAAGAAATCAGCTGACGTGGAAGGGGAATCTCAAAATCACCTATGCAATGGCCACATTAAGAGGCAGCCCCTCATGTAGAATATACACAAAGATGAATAAAGGTACTAAACCAACAATTAGGGTGTCTCCTATATCTGTGAATAAAGCATCTTTCAAATGATTCTAGCCAAAAAGAGTTCAGCCATATGGCTGTGATCCCAGACACCATGGAATAAAGACAATTTCCTCGTCATGCCCTGGTTAAATTCCCAATCCACAGACTTGGTGTAGACAACACATATTTATTTCTACCACATACGTCTCAAATAACTCATTACGTCAGAGTAAAGAACAATGAAAAATGGATATGGTCCACAAAGAGGGTGTATGTGGGGTATCAGTGAAAGTGATCATTTGATATCATACTAAGAATGTAAAAAAAAAAAAGTGGGGACCATACTCTGTGAGATGCCTTTGAATTAGGTTTATATTAGTCAAAAACTATTAATTTATCTTGAAGGCAAAATAGAAATACAGAGAGAAGGTGTTCAAATAGAGAGAATATTGGAATAAATTCAGAATTACAAATGAATCCCAGGGAAGTATGAAAGTCAGCCCATAGAGATGGGAGGCAGTTCTCAGCCAAGTCTGAGAATCCAGTGAGTCATGAATGGTCTCTGCTGTAAAGGCACACAACACTTGGCCAAGAACTCACAAAGAAAAATTACTAAGACTAACATAAAAGATGTATTTCACTCAAAAACTTAATCCTTACTATTTCATAGCCTTAAAAGAATGCATTAATAGTAAAGATGCTTAAAAAAGACATTGTGGCATATTATTATCTATATAAGTAAATTACATATACATTTATAGTATAATATATTATATAATATATACAGATATACATATATGCACATATAATACATACACTATATAATATAATAAATATAATATATAAAAACTTAAGTCCATTTATGCATATACATATATGGTTTAGATAAATATTTTCCTATATGATCTAACAATGCTCTTCCCAAGAGCCAAGGACAATATACCAAAAACCACAAACAAGCCATGAGAATCTCCCTTCACAGTTTTAGGTCAAAGTTGTCCAAGAAAGTCCTAAGACATTGTAGGATATTGCTGTTGCCATTGGTTGCCTCCCAGAGGTTGAAGGTAAGTCCCTATTGCTGACAACGCTAAACCAATCCTAAAATAAGGATTCAAATTGAGATCATACCTGAAAGCATCCTTCCTAAGGATTAGCTTTCATGGTACCAGAAGGCTCCATAGAAAATTTCAAGGGAGGAAAGCAAACAAGGGTCAAACTAAAACAATAATGAACATGGAATGATATCCCTAAGAGTACAATGGTGGTATACATACTTTGGTCATAATGAACAGCCCTCTGACTTGACTTTAGGCCTGCTGAACAAGAGTGAACTCATGTCTGATAATGGAAACCAAGCCATATGTATGAGGCTAGTGAGGCCATAGATCTCGGAGGAGTATCTCCAAATACCACTTTACTAAATCAGCGTAATTCTTAATTACATTCTAAATATTTATCCTTATGCCCACAGATAAGAGTCAGTGTGACCCCTTATCAAAGACATGTCTCTTTGCTTTCTACAATGATCAGATAGAGATCACTGTAGAAAACCACAACCAAAGTACAGAGAACAAGTGACCATGAAGTTATAATAAACCATATATGACTTTATTTTTTAATTGTAAACATATAATTTATCCCCAAAATATTCATGTCCCTATTGTATCAATTATCACATCTTGCCAGCCAGACCAATACTGTAGTATGCAGGGTCTACAGTACTGGACATGCATTCTTTCCCATAGAGGGGGCCTCATATCTAACCAAAGGGTAATTGATAATCCCCCAAACACTCATATCACTGTGGCAAGACAGCAGTAACCTTATCTAACCAAGCATTTCAGTATTGTAGCGTCCACCATCTAGAGCTAGATATGACAATCCTTCTCTAAAAACCCACATAGCAACTTATGCCACCAAGAAAATGTTGTAATACTAAAAAAAAAGGATTGTCATGCAGAAAAGTACTTAATGCACAGTCAAATCCTGAAGAAAAATGTTTTATGAAGTGACCTCCAACATTCATCTCAGTTTTAAAAAGATTATCATACATAATTTACGATGCTTTCATAGTTTTAAAGTTTATATTTCAGTAACTTAATGAGTTATTTTTATCATTAAAAGTTAACATTTGTTTCCTTACCTAAATAGAATCTTGTATCATAATTATATTTTGTAGAAGAAGGTCCTCCAATTTCATACACTCAGGAAGGAGGCTCCTTAGCAAGGGGTGGTATTTATTCTTAGTATGTCAATAATATCTCTAGATATATCTACTTCTTATTTCTCTCAATATACTATCTTAATTTTTTCCAGGATACAGACTTATATGTATAAACACATAACTGTCCTTTCTCCCTACCCACTAGCATCTTGAAGCATTTACTTTTGCTCACCATCAATCCAGAACAATATTCAAATCTCATTGAATGGAACGTAAATAATGCTAGATTATTGTTTAGAGTCTCCTCTGGCCAGGTCTGCCAGCGCTGTTTTCTGCATGCAGGGGTACAGTGAGAAAGACAGACAGATAAGAGAATGTGCAATTTCTTCAACACCTGCCATCGATTAGTGCAAAAACATAAATGATGTGGTTTCAGACTCTATAACTCAAAACTCAATATGAGCAGTAATTCCTCTTAAAGGTAACATTTGGAAACTTGGTAATGGGAAAAAAATGAGACTCAAGTGCTTCCTGACAATCCTGGGTGAGGGTGCAGTAGGCAGCTCTGAATAGCACCATAGCCTGGGTCCTATAACCATTGTCCCATTCATAGACGCCTAGCACAAACCTCATCTATCTTAGGCTCAGTAGCACAGAGGAAATCTTGGTCTGCTTGAAGAAGTAAGACACTCTTAATAAATCACAGCCTTACAATAATAAACACAGGAAATCTCTGGAAAATTGAACATCCTTTTTTTTTCCCTACCCAATACCCTGCTTGGCTGCCAAAGCTAAAACTGTCTGACACCATATTCACAAAACTTAAGTCCAGAAGCCTTAAAACTAATTTGGTCTGGTGTATAATTTCCTGTCCTTCTTTGTTCAACTTTACCTCTATGTGTGATGGACCTTTATAGTGCCCTCTGTGGGATGGAATGTCCATGTGTTTCAAAATCTTCCACCACAACTTCCCTTCCTCTATCCTTGTGAAAACAAGAGATGCTAATCGTAATTCATGAAGTCTACAAATATTCATTTTTATATTACAAGATAAACATCACCTATAGTAATGGATTTGTGGGTTTAAAACTGCAACACTAACGTCTTGGTGGGAAGAAATGAAAGTTTCTTTATCCAATAACATTTCCCAGCT